TGTCTGTCTCTACCACAGGAATTTTCTGTTTAGGTGTGTCTAAAGGAATGATGTCCCCACCTAAATTATTTACTAGCAAACTGACTCTCCTTCTTGGTAAATGTTTAATCTCTTGAGTGCAAGGTTCACACTGTCCAAGACTTTCATGGGAGTTAACATGGGCCACCACACAAGCTGTTTACACACAACTGCATCTGGACTTTCCAATGGTTTCCAAGCCTACATGGAAGGAACAAGCTTTGCCTCTTATCAAGGACTAATATTCTTATTGGCACTAGTTCAGCTAGACTAATAATATCTGATGTTTTTCAAAAACCTAGACTTCTAAGACTTTCGTTAAAAGTTATTTCAAATTATAGGCACTAAATACAGGAACAAAACACAGTAACTTGCATACCTCAGTTTTGGCGTGGACATAAATTCTGAAGTAATACACTAAGATTCACACCCTTTTATTATACTATACTCTCATGTGCTAAGTTAACCTGTCTCATAGCCAGAGTCATAGTAATATATTTTAGCTTCAACTTGTTTAAATGAACCAGGGCAAACTATTTTCAAAGGAATAGTATTTTAGTTTTTGTGGAGATAGCCTTTTATTTCTTACTCGTAAGGTTTTAAGGTTAGACACTGACTCGCTTTGGCAACCGATTTCCATGCATGTACATGTACCAGGAGTACTGTCTTTTTGCATTTACATACATATTACTGTGCAACTATAGTTAAATAATGGTGCATTTTGTATCTAGTCTACCCATGTAATTATCTGAGCAGGGTTGAATCTTATACTAGTTTACAATCCCTCCCATCCCCTGCACCACAAAATTTCCAAGCCCCACGTGTCCAGCTGCTAAACTCCTAACCTACTCCTAACTCACCGTCTTTCTTCAGTTCAAAAAACGATAGTAGTACAAAAAGTGGGCAGTTAGAGCAGCTGTGGGAGGTGAAGTTGGCTGGACTTAATAAGCTGCTTCCCACTAGGCCAGTGCTGCAGTGGGCAGATAAAAGGGAGCCATCAAAAGCTCACCTGCAGCTCATTCATCTTCAGAAAGGGGAGGAGCAATGACCTCTTGCTGCTCTTGAATGGAAAGGAAGGTGCTGAAAGGGAGTGTGGGATGCCGCCCTGCTAGGGACTACAATTCTGGAAACAACTATCCTGCTCTCTGAGCCACAGGAATTCCCCACTGCGTCCCAGACCACACTTCCCATTTTGCTTCCTTCCACGCCAGCAACGTCTCATACCAAACCAACCAAAAAGCCAGCACAGGCCAAAGAGGTGGGCGCAGAAGGGGGCGGCTGAAGAATGGGGCCACTTTACAGGCCAGACACAGGCCTACGAGTCTAAAAGAATCCCTGGAACTGCTTCTGCTAATTATATTGATATAGAAACAGCACCTTCTTTCCCTTACTTTGTTCAGGATCTGCTTCCCACCCTGTAAGCACATTCAAAGCAGGCATCTTACCCATTTCCTAATGCCCTCCCACCCATTCCCACCACCACAACTTACAGAAAGTCTGCAAACGTCTTGATTTTTACGAGCTATTGTGCACTGACATTGCTCACTTATGAAAAATGAGCCTTTCTGGTAAGTCATCATATTTAGCGGTTACGTCCTTGGTTAAGTCTCAAGACTACTCTGGCAAACAGGGTTGCAGCTATTGCACGAAGCTAAGAGTCACAGCTGTCCCTGCTGCATTCTTCTTATTAAATCAGAGGAATAAAGGAGAAACTGAACCCGGGGCTTCAACAAGCTATTTTAAAGATGACTGAAGCTTTGTACTTCCCCATGTAGAACTGAACATGACAAAGGTGGGTAAGTGGTGCTTGCACTCCACCCGAGCCAGCCCTACCCTAGTCTCAGGGATACATTCCTGGGTGCCTGTCCTCGGTACAACAGCTTGCCATATCCTCACAAGCCCTCACGCTGGGAAGGATTATCGAAAGTCTACTATTTCTTTATTATATACATCATTAATTTTAACAATTTAGGCTGCACTTGGGGCTTCAGTAAAAGAATAAAAAGTGTTAGATGGTGAGGAGGTGGGAACATATCTATATTTTTAAATTAGTTGTTTCAGAAGTAATTTATGTTTTGAAATATTTGTTAGGTTTTTCCTAACAAAGCACTGCTGTTTAAGTCAGATTCCTTGTAATAGGAGCTAAATAAGTCTTCTGATATAAAAGTAGCAAACCTACTTCTATATAGTACTCACCTTGATCTAATTCCTCAAAACCTTAAGCATTAGAATTTAATATTCATTGCATATAATAAGCCTTTACCTACTGATCAATTCACACCTTTCAAATCTAATCTGTAAGAGCCACAACATTCCGTTAGCCAAAGTAGAAAGAGACAGACAGACCAATGTTGAGATATCAAGGCCACCACGACCTGGGGAAATCACCCAACATCTGCCTGGAAGGCCACACGACATAGTGACTGAAAACCCTACATCCGCAGTTACCAGTGTGACTTCAAGAAGCTATGTTAAGAAGTAGAACAAAATAAAGAGAAATATATTTACGATACTGCTAATACAAGTAAAAGACAAACTAGAAGCAACCTGAATGTACTACAGAGATTTCATAAATTCGTGTAAATGACTCTGACAGAATATTTTAAAGTGATAAGTTATTTAAAAGTATATCTATAAAAACCCAGAAGAATTTGCAATTTGCTATAATCCTCTTTATAAAGAAAAAACATATATACACATATATATATGTTTTCACTTATGTGTGTATATATAATTCTATTAGAAAAACGTACACATAAGTGAAAAAAATAAATGTTATAAGGAAGATTGTCATTTATTCAACAGTTTAGCACAGGGGCTACCATGAATCAGGCCCTGGGTCAGACACTAAAGCTAAAATGTTGTGTGTGTTTTTTAAAGAGATCTGCCTCTGCCTTCTTGGAAGTTACAGGTTTCATTAGTCAGAATAATTGCAGTTATGTGAGTATGGAGTATTTTTTTTCTAAACAATAATTCTAATATATTAATATTTTAGTAATATAATCTAGGCTTTTATCTGGCTAGGTTTGTGTTATAAAGCCTGCACTGGGGGCTAGACATATACGACAAATGTCAAGAAGTAGCACACAAAATGACAACTACTGTTCCAAACGTCAGTGGTGCATGATCACTGATGTCCTTTCCCTTCCAGCCTGTAAAGAGGAAGAAGGGGTGCTGCTTCGGGCCCCCGTGACGATCCTCTGCCCTCTTCCTAGAGGTTCCCTGCCCTTCAGCCAAGCCACAGGCATGGCTCAGCCACCTTTCATTAGAGAACTGAGAGCAGAACAAGCCGTTTCTGATTCCAAGGGCCCAGCCACCTCCACAACACCTCGGAGTAACTAACACTCAGCTAATAAAGTGAACACCTGGCCCAGCTCCTCTGAAAGACTGCTAATGTGACACATGCATAATGCAAGCCCACATGCAGAGACGGCTTGTCTAAGGACTCTGCACTCTGCCCAATGATTTCTCTAGGAGAAACTCTCATGAATGTGACCAAGCTAATGTCACACAATGAATCAGACACCCATGCAGCTTATCTTCTCCTGAAAGCCTCTTTTATGAAGATGACACTGCCCTTTCCTTGCACAGCTAGGTTTGGACTTGCTACTTAGGTTTACAAAAATAATAAAACTATATTATTTTAAAATGCATATAACTGAGAAAACTACAGAAGAAATGGTAGGGGAAAGAGAGGAATGGGATTGCGGAGAGGCATTTCAGGGATAATAAATCTCTACTACTCAACGTGTGGTCCATGACCAGTGGCGTCGACATCACTTTCAAGTCTTATGTAAATGCAGAGCTACATGCTCCACCTGAGACCCTCTCAATCAGAATCTGCATTTAATAAGATCTCCCGGTGTTTCATAGACACATAAAAGCTCCGGAGTCGCTGTTCCAGATACTTATAATATTCTATTTTTATATCTGGAAGGTGAGTACACTTAGTATTAGTCTCTAAAATGTACACACATTTCATACAGTCTTCTGATTATGTGACATGTCTCTAACCTAGCCTACAAATGAACCCCCTGTCTACAAACTGGCAAGTAGCGATTGTCAAAATGTGGGAGAAAAAATGCTACGTGTGTCTGATCTTCAAACAGTAAACTGAGATACAGATAAAACCTCAGAGATCGCATAACCCAACCTATTCACTTCATGGGAAGTGACACCATGTGAGTCAGGAAGGGACACACCTTCCCAAGGGTCAGATTGCTAAGTTACTGTGGCAAAGTTAAATTAAAGTTCAAGTCTCCTGATCCCCCATAATGTTCTGTGTCCTATAATAACACTCGTTTAATACATGATGAATGATTTTTCCCCCCATCTAAACAAATACTCATGTTAAAAGAGAAATCAGTATTAAGTTAAAAAAGAATTCTTTAAACCAGTACCCTGTATATTAAATAATAGATGCCCAATATATATTAGTTTGAATGAATGAATGACTTTGAGGCAGAGACAAACATCATTATCCACATCTTCTCAAAGGGCTGAGCTGAATTACAGAATGGCTAAATAATTTCCTTATGGAAGAAACCACAGAGCTCAATTTTAAAACAATTTATAATACTCTCTTCCACAGTAACCAAAAATAGCCCTTTACCTTTATCAAAGTCAAAATATTTTACATGTTCAATATTTGAGTGTGTGAATCTGTTTGATATCAATTAAATTAGTATCTTAAGTAGGCCTTTTAAAATTATTACTTAGGCCCAGCTGGCGTGGCTCAGCAGCTGAACATCAACTTATGACCCAGGAGATTGTGGTTCGATTCCCGGTCAGGGCACATGCCTGGGATTCGGGCTCAATCCCCAGTCGGGGGCGTGCAGGAGGCAGCCGCTCAATCAATGACTCTCTCATCATTGATGTTCCTATCTCTCTCTCTCACTCTCCCTTCCTCTCTCTGAAATCAATAAAGACATATATTTTTTAAAAAATTATTACACAGGATAATGAAAAACAGTACTACTCACCAATGCTAATTTCATCATCTGTTTCTGCATCACCAATACATTCAAATTGGAAATCTTGCAGTGACTGAGAAAATTTCTGTACTGCCATAGACAGATCTGTAATTAAAAGTTGAAAAGTCGTAAGTTGAAGGACTTATACTTACACGTGGAATACTTGAGTTTCCACATGTAATCTTATATATATATACATATATATATATATGTATATATATATATCACTTTGATGTTAAGACTGTATTAACCAGAACCTTTTAAAATACCAGCTTGATAAATATAAGCAGATTTAAAGAGACTACTAAAGAAATATTTTAGGAAAGGGATGTGCTCTGCTCAAAGGGGATCTGCCCTTTTAAGAAAGTTTTGTTGCCAGTTGCATATTATCTATAAGCCAACTTCCCAAAGCCTTTATCAAAGAATTACCACTCATTCCCTATAAATGGAGCATTTATTTAAATAGAAAAGAAAAAAAAAAAGAGTGCTACTGAGGTTGCTGGTGAGAAAAAAAAAAAAGGCAAAGGGTCTAATCAAAGACCCTTTGATTAGAAAGGGTCACTGGTGTTATTCTCCATAGGCTGTGAAGCAGGTAGGGAACATATTTTACCAATAAACTACTGGTTTTTAATCTTCTTCTAAGGTGAAAGGACACCAGAAAGGTTGTTTACAAATAATCTTGTGATTTACAAATCTCCAACTAAACATACTCTTTAATCCTGACTTCAACCTGAACAAAGTCCCGAGAGTGGCTAAACCCAGATGAATTCTTCTTTATTCCTGAAGAGAATAAAGAAAAGTCCAGAATAATGAGAAGTAAATCCCTGGGAGGCAGAAGCCTGCGATGCAACCTAACAGACTAAGAAGCAGACTCTGGAGCCAGGCTGCCAGGGCTGAAATGCAAGTTCCACCACATGGCCTTGGACAAGTTATTTAACTCCTAAGGGCCTGTTTCCTCATCTATAAAAAGTGAGTGGCGCCCGGCCAGTGCCGCTCAGTGGTTGAGCATCAACCCATGAACCAAGAGGTCCCGGGTTCAATTCCTGACATGTCCAGGTTGCGGGCTCGATCCCCCATAGGGGACGTGCAGGAGGCAGCCGATAGAGGTCTCTCTTTCTCATGGATCTTTCTATTTCTCTATACCTCTCCCTTCCTCTCTCTCTAAAATCAATAAAAACATTAAAAAATAAAAAAGTGAGAGTGCCCTAGCTGGTCTGGCTCAGTGGTTACAGCGTCGGCCTGTGGACTGAAGGTTCCTGGGTTCGATTCCAGCCAAGGGCACGTACTGTGGTTGCAGGTTCGATCCCCGGCCCCAGTCTGAGCGTGTGCAGGAGGCAACCAATCCACGTGTCTCTTTCACATTGATCTCTCTCTCTCTCCCCCTTCCATTCTCTCTGAAAAGCAATGGAAAAAATATCCTTGGGTAAGGATTTAAAATTAAAAAAATTTTTAAAAAGGTGAGTGGCAATGGTATAACCACCTCATAGAGCTGTTTCAAGGATTAAGTTAATATTTGCAAAAGGTTTAGAATAGAGCCTAGCACTTAAGCGCTATTTAAGTTTGTTAAATAAAAAATAAATCAATCTGACAGTGCAGCCTCACAGTAGCCTTAAAGATCCCACCTCTAAGAGCCACTCTGATCATCTGTGCCAACCCTTTTACAGACGCTTGCGCCAGTAGGAAAACACTTTTCGGGAATTCACTCTACACTTCATTGAATGGTATCTCCCATGGGTTCAGGTCCAATATCTGAACCCCCACATTTAATTGAAACAACAAGACCTGACAAAGACTATCTTTGCTCAATCTTTAGTCAGGCTCCTCTGAGCCCTCTTCTTGACTAGGCCTCTACCTTGGCTCCCCTTCCTCACTGGGCCTACATAGCCCTGTTTTAGCAAGAATCTTGCCAAGTCAATTTAGAGAAAATCCCCAGGCTGGATATCTGATCAAAATCCTTGTCCCCCACCTTTGATGAGTAAGCTCCCTGCATGCCTTCACCAAGACTCCTCCTACCCTTGACATCTCTTTGTAGTAATTTTCCATCCACAACACCTGCAACCTGCTCCTTGGCTATAAACCTCACATGTTCTTGTTGCATTCTTGTTACCTGACCTCTCTCCCCTACTGTGACACTCTTAGCATCTAAAACAACAGTCCTGAATAAAGTCTTCCTTACCCTTTTAACAAGTATCAGAATGTTTTTTTCTTTAAGAGAACAAGTGTGGCTCTATGCCTAGACATAGCCCCATGACTTATCATGATAACCCACCATTCATGAAACTCCAAGCCCAACTACCTATCAACATAAGCACTCACAAGTGAATAAGTCTCCAAGTATGAAGGTGACTTTCAGCATCACTGTGATCCAAGAACCCACCAACAACCTCATGCCAAGGACAATTCTGAAGAGAACAGGCCTTGGGCCTCAGAGAGGCTTTTAAAAAACAACAAATATAAATACACACACAAGAGACTAAATTTTTGTGTGTGTGTGTTTTTATCTTGTTTGAAAAAATAAATCATGCTCTGGAAAGGGGATGCTACTTGTAGATTAACACCTCTTTCCACAAGAGGGGTAAAATTTGGGAACCAGCTCACTTTCTACTTGAGAGGTACTTTCAATTTAAGAAAGTGGAAAAGTCTACTAGCTTAAGAATAGCTCTGCTTTCGACTTTCAGAAAGAAAGATGAAGAGAGAGCCTCCTCAGTGAATTATCAGTCAATAAGAAAAACAAAGGCTTCATCAGAACTAGACTTCGCCAATTAGCTGTGAAGCCTTGAACAATGTCAGCCTTCTTGAGACCCATTTTTCTTATCTATACAACAGAGAATTAATACTTGTCGCACAGGGTTGTTTTAAAGGCTAAATGAGGATGTGCCTGCTACACACAACTCAACTCAATACATGGCTTCAGTTATTATCATTCAAATCCAGCTCATAAAAGTGGAAAAATTAACTGGCCTTCCAGACAGAAGGGCACTGTGCAAACGTATGCACTTATCTGACAGTGCACAGCTCTGGTTAAGGGTAGAGAAATCATAACACCTATACCAAATGTTATGAAAAGACAAAGAAAGAAAGCAGACCTGTAGGATGACTTTAAGCTGAGCTGTATGTGAGTACTCTCCCCAAGACTTGGGAAAAGCATTCTACTTAACGTCCCTTTATTTTTCTATGTACAATATAAAGGCCTTATGCTAAACTGGATTTGAAGTCACAGATGGCAATTCCTACACAGCAGACTTGAGAAGGGGGAAGGGGTTATATGAGTAGATCAGGATGCTTAGGAATTCCGCAACAGATATCCTTCCTCCTCTCCCCTCCTCACCACAAGCTCCTCTGAGTTTCTCCTCAGACTCAATGAGTTATCTGGAAGCTTTGTCCCAGGGAACTCCTTACAACCCCCAGTGACTGACCACTTCTTCCTAGACTATTCTTTGCTTCCCGTGGCCTTGCTCCTTGACTAAGAAAGGTAAGCTGCTTTGTACTTTCACAGACATCACAGTGAACGCACTCTAATAATTCCCATCCCCAAACAAGAGAACGCAGTAGCCCACCTTGCAACCTATCCTTGTCAATACAGAGAAGTGACTGAGAATATGAGCTCCAGTGGCAGGTAACCCAGATTAGCTTCCTGCTTCTACCAACCAGTGGCATGATTGTGGGCAAGTTCCACAGCCTCTCTGTTCTTCAGTGTCCTCACTTATTCAGTGGAACAGAACGTATGTCTCAGGGTTATTGTGAGAGATGAATTAATGAGGTAATAGATGAAGCACTTAGAACTGACACACAGTTAAGCACTTAAAACATGTTGGTTATTTCCATGTTGAACAACTCAGAAAAGAAAGGAAAAGGTAAAATTTCAGGGATGAAAATGGCAGCTGTTAGACCTTGGATATCCTTGGAAAGTGCTCAAGAAAAGTTTATTGGTAGCAGTTTCAAATTTTCTCTTAGTGCACTGCAATCACACTGTAACAGAGACAATCTGATTAGTCAATATTTCTGTGTAAGAGCTGGGTGTCTATTTCAACCCTGGGTGGAATGGAGAATGCATGAATGACCTTCACAGTCCTTTCAGAAGCATATCGAGAAAGGATTATACAAGAAAATATGGTTCTAAATTGGTTCAGGTGATAATTTCAAAAATAAAGGGGAAGTTCAAAATGTAACTTATTTTCAACTTCAAGTATCTTGTTTCTTGACTTTCCTTTTATTTTATTCATTCCCCACCCCACCCCCCCCAAAAAAGAAAAACTACAAAATACTGATGAGATCAAAAATACTATCAATATANGAAGTTCAAAATGTAACTTATTTTCAACTTCAAGTATCTTGTTTCTCGACTTTCCTTTTATTTTATTCATTCCCCACCCCCACCCCCAAAAAAGAAAAACTACAAAATACTGATGAGATCAAAAATATTATCAATATAAAGAACTTTTGGTATTTTTTGACACTGATATTAACCAAGGTGCAAAATGAGGAATCCGGCTCATGTTTTTAATCTTGGCTCCATCTCTTACTGTGTGCCATTTTGAACTGGAAAATTCAACACTTTCCATTGACTTAAAACCACATGAAACAACTATTCCCTAAATCTAAAGTTTCTAAGCAATTATCAGATGCACAAAACCAATGTACTGGTTCTAAAACCTTTTACATAAAATTGATGTACATGTGATTACACAGACCTTGAATTTAAAACCTAAGTTTTTAAAGATTATTGTTAAATATTAACATATCAAGTTGTGTAATGATACGATCAACATTTTATCTTAAATGCAAAAAGATCAAGTAAAGAAAACATTACAAGCAGGAAATCTAGTTTAGGGAAGTGTGTCTCTTTCTCCCTATTTCTACCCAATTATTAGAAATTGAAGACAAACAAGAAAAATATCCCAGTCAGAGCCACCATGGCCACATTCTTTGGTGAAGGTAAAGGAATAACATGGACTAGCGAGCAAGATTGTACACAGTAAAGATGCTACAAATGCCACTCACACTATATCCTTTCCACTTGCCTAATCTGCAAAGTAAGCATAACATGTCTTCACATGTATTCACATTATAACCTGGAAGAAATTACACTGGGCTTTAATCCTCAA